AAGAAGAAAAACTTGCTTTTCAACTTTTATTTTTTATTTCTTAATACTAAAAATAGTCACGATTATTTTCTTGTTTTGGTAAATTAGTAAATGCTTATAAAAATTAGTAGCATTCTTAATATTTCAGGGTTTATTTAGATTTTCCTTTAAAGTGTGTGTATATTTCTAAAAATTCATACATATTGAAAAAATATTTGAATCTTAAAACAATCCTCAAATCTAATTTGAGTATGGATTATTGTTATACATGTTTTTCACAGTTAATTTAATTCTTTACTCACAATCATTGTCTTTGTTGATTATACTTAAATATTTCGTTTCCTAAAATGCATAAGAGTAAGAGACAATTTTGTACTTCAGAGGACAAAATTTTATGATCTAAGTTGTAAACTTGTTGATTCATCTTTAATTGCTTTTTCAACAATAATAGAAGGTAACATTAGTAATGCTTACCTTTCCTTTTTTCTTTTATTGATTTTAACATATTGGGAATGGGAAGGTTGTATCTTTAGACTACCCAAATAACTTTTAAAGATATGTTGACTTTGACTGTTATAATTTTTTTTTTTTTTTTTTTATCCAGAGTTGTCTTGTGCAAACAGCTTGTTAACTTGATAAATGTCTGGTTAATCTGTTGGCAATCCTTTTTTCTCTGATATATATATATATATTTTTTTTAATTGAGTGATTTAGGCATGTAACAATAGCTGGAAAGAATGTTTAAAGGATACATGCTTCCACCACACACACACACACACACACACGTGTGTGTGTGTATGCATATATATATATATATATATATATATATATATATATATATATATATATATATAGAATTAATAGATTAAAAACTAAGGTTATTACAGTTTAAAATACATTTTAAAAAACTTTTTAAATTCTCTTGAATTTTTTTTATTTTAGTTTTAATTCCAAAATAGATTCAATTTAATATTTTTTAATATTTCCAATTAGCAAAATACTTTGCTGTATTTGATTGGAATGATTTTTGTTTTCTGATTATCAGTAGAATCTATAAAGTTGTCTATATTGACAAATCTCTCAACACAGCGTAATTCCCTTTATTAAAAGAATCTTTCAAAAATAAAATCTGTTTTCTGAAACATTGAAACTGAGCTGATTTTAAAGTTTAATTAATCTGAAATGAAACCTACATTTTACTTTTACTTTAAAAAAATATAGGAATGCATTTTTTTTTTTTTTTTTTTATGAAATGTTGAGACTTATCAACAGCCGGATGTTTGAGAACTTTATATAAGAGGAGGAGATAATTGTAATAAAATTACACAACAAATACAATGTAAATACCACTTTTTTATATAATTTTTTTTTTTTAACTATCTAGTAATCTTAAAAATTTAAAATAATTTTAAGTATTCTAATATTTTACTTATTTTAGGTACTTTAGCTTATTTACAAAGATGCTTCTTGAGGAAATGTTAGAAAATTACCAAAAAGTTTTAAATATCCTATATAGTTATTAGCCGTATTTTCTGATAATGTGTGTGGATGTCCGTATTTACAAAGATCAAGACATTTATACCCCAAAAAAAATGCTAAATTCTTTTTAAAATACTGGGAGTTGCTGAATTGTAATAAGCTTTTCCATTTATTAGTAAATACAGTTTTTATTTAATAACAATATCATTTGACTGCTACAAATTAATACAATATTTTAAGATTTAAGTTTGTAAATTATCATAATTAAAATTTTTAAAAATAAATGAAAACAATTTTTGTAAAAATTCCTTGTTCATTGCAAAGAAATTTTTTATGACTATAGTGTCCATAATGTATTTCGTTCATAAAAGCAATTATAAACTTTTCTAATTAAATAGTATCTTAGTTTTATTGCTTTTATTTTGTTCAGCGCAGATTTTATGTAACTAGCAGCTCTGTTTGACTGCACCCAAAACTAGTATAAACAGTAAGTGCTATCAAAATGAGTTTATCAAAATTTCACAAAATTAAATAAGTCAGAGTAATAGAGGTGGTGGTTGTTGCATTTTTTTTTTGTTTTTTTTTTGTTTTTTCTTTTTCAAAGATTTTCAACATTTCAAAAATAATTTCATTCATTTGTGAATAAGCCCAGAGAGTGTCATTAAAATTCAACAATTACTTTTTTGGAAGAATTTAATAATTAATGTTTTTCACTGCAAAAAAAAAAGCTGAATTTCCCCTTACAAAATTATGGATACCATGTTGATGCCAGGAAAACAAGATTTTTTTTTTTAACCAAAATTTTGAAGGTCCTAAAAAAAAAAAGGAGGGGGGGTTAAAAAAAAATTTCTTTTCATCAAAAACTATGATCTTAATAGCGCTTGATCTTAACAATAAAACAAAGATTTTGGTAATAAAACTTTGGTTTTAAATTTTGGACATTTTTTTTTTTTTCATTATGTATGCTTACTTTTCAGCAAAACTTTGGACCTATGTAAAGTTGCATTGTAAATTTCCTCAAATATACTCATTTTCATGAAAATCAGTCTCCCATTATTTTTTTGTGTATTTCTACTGTTAGGTGCAAAATTATCTGCAAGGTACAGGTTTCATTTAATGTTATTCACTTTTCAAATATTGAAACACACACGTGTGTGTGTGTGTGTGTGTGAGAAAATGTTTTTAGGCTTCAAGTAAATACTCATAATCCATTTCAAAAACATTTTACTTAATAGCATTATAAACACAATATCAAAAAATTGTTAAAGACATTATTTATTTTTTATGTTTATAATGAAATGGATGACATAAGATGACATAACTAATATATATATATATATATATATATATATATATATATATATATATATATATATATATATAATCTGAATATTTGACAAATGAATTGATAGATTTTACTGAAAGCTTTCAAACTAATATTTTCATATAAAGTTCTTAAGTTGTCTCATGAGAAATTAGTTCATATAACCCATAACTGATGAAAAACCATATTAACATCTGCCTGCTGTGGTTTCTGAACTAGTCTCACAAGCCGTTGCCAGTGAGTTTATTCTTTAATACTTGCTCTGAAAACATGTATATATGTTAAAGTTGATTTAGTTCTGCAAATCTACCTATCTAGTAAGTGTCAACACTATATGCTGTAGCATGATGATTGGTATGCTAGAGGCTCCGTAGATTTGACCTTTCACCAAATTTGAGGTGGTCCACTAAATATCAAATCCATATCTCTGAGCTAAGGCCTTGTAAGCTAATGGAAGCAGAGGGTGAGAAGGAATATAATTAGATATTTACCACCACTGAAGAGCACTGGACTATTATAGTCCCAGATTTCCTGATCTCCCATAAATTTGATGAAAAGTAAAATATTTCAAGTTCAAATACTGCATACTAAAAGTACAAATTAAATAACGTCACAACTGGAAGTTAATCAACAAAGACCAAATTTGTATCTCACCTGTTGAAATAATTGACTCTTTTTTGGAGCAGTAAATATTGTCTAGTGAGCAGTTAATCAACATGTCATTCAAGCATGAGAATTATGCAGTCATTATTCTTAGATATCTACTCATTTAATCATTTTATTTTGTTTTTTTGGGTTAAATGTTTTCTTTAGTCAGTAGTTGGTAGTAAGACTTCTTTCCAATGGAGTCAAAATTTTATATAATGTTCTTGAGACATCTCCACATTGGATTCCTCAAGTGTAAATGAGGCTTGAGCAGTATTTGTCCTTGGTCGCATATCTGCATAGAGGTTTTACTTTAAACTTTGTCTTGTACCCACATTCCATTTGTATGGGCATGCTGATAAAATACATTTAGTAGGGGCTTCAGGCATAAGCTACAGTAATGATCAATATAATTAGCTGTATATTATTTTAAAATGGGATTTTTGTTCTCTCTCTCTCTCTCTCTCTCTCAAGTATGCCAAATTTTGGCTATATTAGTTTTAGTTATTTCAACTGCTATATTCAGTAAAAGAGGTAAAAGGATGTAAAAAAAAATCATAAAGTGGAGCAGATAATTATCATGTCTTTTAGGATAAAGTTCACTCAACAGTGTCAGGTTGCTTTTATCATTGTTCTGGTTGAAAATGTATAAGATCACGAAACTAGAAAAATGGGATTTATGTAATTTTGTTGGATTACTATAAATTCATCAAATTTTCTAAAAGAAAAGATTTTTTTAAAAATGACTAAAGATTTTGTTAAGACTACTGTAGATTCAAAGTTTTTAAAGATATATGGTGCCAAATTTGGTAAAACTTGTTTCTTCAAAATACAAGGTGCATCAGAAATAACATCCATGTCATGCTAAGACACTAGCTAGATGCCACTAATGTCTTACTATCATGATGTTGGAGGTATTTCAGAACTGAAAAGATTATTTGGGAGATTTTTTTTTTCTTTCAAGAGGCTATCACAGATTTTGAGAGCAACATATACAACTAAGTATGACTAATTTTTCAAAAAATACTTGACTTGATGGAGGAATGAAAAAATGATGTTTTAAGATTTAATTCATCACCTGTAATATCAATAATAGTCCAACAAGTGAATGTCATAGATATACATTTTTAATCTTGTGAACAATGCGTTTGTAGGTCCTAGAAATGGCAGCTGTTATTTTTCTTTTTATCTAATGCTTTGTCTTGTAATACAATTCTACAAAAAAAGCATCAGATTACCCAAATTAAAAAAAAAAAAAGTACCAATTAATCAAATGATGCGATCTCTGACTATTCCTCTAATTCTAACATGACAACAGTGAGCTGTCAGGATGTCACAAGGTTTTTTTTTTTGTTTTTTTTTTTTATTTTTTTTTAAAGGAATCCTCATAAATGTTTATTTCCTTTCCTGATAAGCATATTGCTGCCACATTTTAACAAAATTAGAATCTCTCTTCTTGCCTGCAGAATATTCCTGATTTTATCCTGTTGGGTTTTGGTAATTCTGTTATTTGGCAAGTCTGGATAATTGAGTTTCTATAATTATTTCACTTTACTTTAATTCAAATAGCTTACAACCACATCGCATTGAAACACTGGTTCTCATACAATCACTGAAGTTAAGTAATGTTGAGCCTGGTCAGTATCTAGATGGGTGGCTGCTTAGGAATACTAAGTGCTCTAAGCTTGGATATGGAAGTGGTGTAATGTATAATGACTCTGAATTGTTAATCAGGCAGCTGCATTCCAATTCCAGTTGTGTTCATTATATTAACGTACACACAAATACACTTTGGAAAGGCATGAATCCAACTCTTCCTTACCAGATAAGTGTTAATTAGTAAGACTTGTCACTAAAACCTTTATCTCCAAAAATAAAAAATCGCATTTGAAATATTTAGATTTCACCATTAAATAACCCTTAGAAGTGTTGATATGCTGAAAACAACCAACCAACCAACCAACCATAATATAATGAGATTGTGGCAATTTCTGTATATTGCCTGGTCAACATTTTAAAAAAAGGATTATATTAGAAAGAATGATATAATTTTTTCTTGTTTATTTAAATACTGTATCACAAAATGGTTTTTGATCAAAAAGGTATTTAGTAAAGTTCATGAGGTATATCTTTTAAAGATAAATTGCAAAACTTTTACATACTGTGAAAAGAAAAAGAAAATATTTTGAGTTTTCATGTTAAATTTAAATTCATGAAGTAATAAGTAATAAGGAAAGCTCATGAGAACAATTACAATGAAAATATTTTTAGGAAAAGATAAAGGAAGCCATATTAGGAAGATGGGGAACTGACTGAAGCCAAGATAAGTCAGGACAGATAGCATTGCCAATTCCCCTTTTTATTTTGTCAAAAATCTCTAGATATATAACAAAAACACCTGGTTAAATATGGCAGCAAGATAGATTTTGGTAAGAAAAATTGTCTCGCATGACATTATGAAGCAACATTACTAACAGTAGACTTAACAATTGATACACTATAATCATTTCAATTCATGTCAGTTGAAAACCTGAAACCAAGAAGCCACAGTGAGTTGCATCAGCCATGAGGATGGCAGCCAAGAAAGGTTCTTTTAAAATGATTAATAGAGGAGTTTTATTTTGGAGGCATTATAATTAGAAGTCTGTTTTGATCCAGTTCACAACAAATTCTAGGTCATTTTCCAGATCAGCTGTCAATTTGACTTTATCAAACCTATCACACTTAATATTAAGATGGTACTAATTAGTTAAATAAATATTAAAGCATATGTTGTGTAATTGGTATAGATGCTGAGTCAGGAACTGATGATATCAGGAAGGTCATTGATGAAAATAAGGAACAGAGTGGGTCCAAGAATAGAGCCATGGAGAATGCCCTCATTAAGGCAAAAGGATCTAGAAGAATGGCTGTTGAAGACTACTCTCAGTATGTGGTTTGATAAGAAAAATTGAATCCCGTCAAAGAAATGGACATAAACATTGTAAACATTCAACATGTGAAGACCAATATGTCAAACTTTGTCAAATGCCTTCATCATTGTTATCTAAAGCTTGACAGACTCTTTCAGCAACAACCGTCTAAGGATTAGCAGTTAACATAGAGAAGCAAAAGAAGACTGCAAGGTGAGATGCTTAACCAGTGCAGAGTTGATTAAAGTCTCTAGTATTTCACCAAAGGTAGAAGACCAATAGGCCTATAGTTTGAAGGATCAAACAGTTCACTTGAGTTCTTAAAATCTTGAACTACAGAAGAGTATTTCCAACAATCTGGAAAGCAAGAAGCAGCAAGGTATCTGTTGTAACCCCCTTTAGAAGATTAGGGGAGTAGTTCATGGGCGCATTTCTTAATTACAGTTACAGAGAAACCATGGATTATATGAAACATTTGAAGTTTGAAACATTAATTTAAAGTAGAAACTCAGGTAAAGGTACTTTTGAATAGTCTAAAGTAGAATTGAAAGAGAATTTGTGGGCAAAGCATTCTACTTAATCAGTAGATGGTCTTTTTTATGTGCAGTGCTCCTTCAGGACCTGGGTGATTATGGCTCTCCACAATTTCCTGTCTTTTGCAAAGTTTGTCTTTTTGTTATATCTCCTAATCCCTATTCTGCCAACCATTTACACATGCCCATTAGGTAGATATGCCATACTTTCCTCTATCCCTCTTACCTTCAATATGTCCCGTGAGTGTCAAATTTTCCAAGCCCTCTTTCTGTATGCACTATAAAAATTTCAATTATCTCTTTCTGTAACTACATATAAATGTCCTTTTTTGCTTCCATTTTCTCTAAAACTTTGTCATTGCTCACATGTGGTATTCTCAGTATCTTTCTGTAGAAAAAGATTTCTTTTGCTTCAAGTCTCTTCTTTCATCTGTGTGGAGATTGTCCAACATTCACTGCCATATAGGAGGACCAGATTTACATAACAGTTCAGTGCTCTTTTCTTTGTTTTGAATGAAATTTTCTTGTTTAGTTTTTTTGAAGGCATCTTTCACTATCCCAATCTTCAATTTCAGTGTCTCATTTTCCATCTTCTGTTAAAAACTTCCTAGATATTAAAATTTTTGTAATTCATGTCTGGGCTGTTTTTTGCTGATAATCATGCGTTCTATCTGCTTACAGTTGCTGTTTAGTACTTTCTTCTTGCTTTCTCTTCCTACGTTCTGTAGGAGTTACTGTAGTTTCTTTTCTGGGATTGCTATAAACACTGTTTCACCTGTATATCAAATGTTAAGATTGTGGCCACCAATAATAAATCCTGGTAGGATTTCTAATTTGATGTGTTTTTCACTGCAAAAAGATGCCCAAATTACCCATACCATTTCTCTGATTGATTTGCTAAAAACAAAATTTTTAAGTTTGTGAAAGGAAATTAAAAAATATAATTTAAGAATCAAAAATCCTTTGAGCTTTCTTAATTGTTATAAAGATTTTGATGATAAAACTCTATTTTTATGAAGTTTGGGGCATATTTTCATCGTGCATGCTCATTTTTTTTTTTTTTTTTTTTTTTAGCAAATCTTTGGAGGTACCTATGAAAGCCTAAAATTATCAAAATGAAAATTTGACCTTCAATATGTATTTGAAAGTCTCTATCATTTTCAAGTTAGCTTCTAGATAACAAACTTAACTCAAAATGTAAGAAGATTGTATGTTAAATTTCAATTGCTTGTAAAATATGGTCAGCTGATAGATTAAATGTTTATGATTAAGAAAAAAAATCTACTGCTAAATAAATCCAACACCATCTGTTATTGCTATTATTTTTTTTTTTTTTTTTTTTTTTTTTAGTCTAAACTAGAGATGTTTTTCTTTTTATGACACTTTTACTAATTATTAAACTATCATTAACAATTATGGTCATAAAACTTGTCTGTTAATGTAAATTTTTTTTTTTATTGATTTTAAAAAAAATTTATTAAGTAGTGTGTAATGTAGATCTTTATATTTATTTTTGTACATTCAGCAGTCATTATTTAAAAATATATTAATTTTTGACGTTATAAAAATATCTACCGTTTAAACCTTATTATATATTTTATTGTTTGGAACCTATTCTAAATTTGATCTTAATGATTTTCCTTTATCAATTCAAAGAATTTTATTTAGAAACTTGCAAGTTGACTGAAATATTCTGAAAAATTGACTGTATTTAGTGTGATCAAAAGAAATGGTCATAAATATTTTACCTATCCAAAATTCTTAGTTGAATTATTGTCCTTACTCTAAAATTTGGACTGGTGTCCATGTTGGTTTCAATCCCAAAAATTATTAGTATAGACAAATCTCACATGCATGCTGGGATTTTTTTCTTAACCAATAAAAATGGATCAGTTCTCAGTCTCATCAGACATATTTTTGTTCTTTGCTGTCTTGAAGTCAAAACACTATAATCACTTGACTTGTACCCCTTTTGCACATGGATGCAATTCTTTGAAGTTTTTTTGCTTTGTCTACTTTTGACTTGCATATATATTGTTTGCTTAGTATTATTTTGTCCTGTTCTTTTTCTTATTGTTTATTGAGAACTTTGGCCATGGTTAGATGTAAGTGACAGTTACTTCATAGGTTATGGGACCAGAAATAAACCTTTTCAATGATGATGAATCCAAATATGAATTATAGAAAGTAAAATTTTTAGGATATATGAGAATCCAAAAATTACACAAAATTATCTTGGCACTATATGATCATCTCTGACGAAGATTAAAGAATGCAAATGTATTTGCAGAGCTAATTCAATTTCTAAATGCCTGAAATCTCTCTCTTATGAGAGAAACCCTGACAATGACATAAAAAAAACTGCAAATTTTAAGTGAACATTTTTTCTAGTTTTTTGACTATAACATCTATTTCTTATGTAGGTGAATGTCATAATAGTGTACATCATAAGAATTTTGATAGTTTTGATTTCATTAGTAGACATCTTCCCATTTAAAATAGGGATTGCCAAGGGGCATTTTGGTATAGAGAATATAGGGTTGATTTTTTTTTCTGTATTTAATATGATTATTGATTAGAAAAGTTTCAAAATTTTCATAAGTAAATTATGTGTCATTATCATTTCTTAAGTGTTTTACTCATCATTGACAAAACAGTGTGTATTTGAAACCATTCAAAGTTATAGGCTCAATTGAGCCAGTTAGATCCCAATGGACAAGTTCTAATATTTTATGAGCCCATTTGTCAGGTAATTTATTTTTATATTGTACCAATTTTGCCTTGGGTACATATTTGCCAATTTAAATTTGATTTTTCAATAATTTTCGTACCTTCTACAATGTCTTTTAGATTACAATGTTCAAGTATTTGATGCTACTGTTTTAAGCTGTGTTTAGTGGTTTGGGAAATTACTGCAGTATTTAGTATCAGCAACCATCTCTTTTTCTGTCAAATTTTATGCTGTTAAAGTATACAAATTCTGAATAATTATGGTTTATGTTTTACAGAAGTCCCTTTTCTCGTAGCGGCTTGTACAGAGAAAGTATTCTGTTTAAGTGTAGGAATATAAAGGGTATCCTTTAAAGTACAATTTTGTATATTTCCTTGTATGCCTGTTAAAGTAACTTAAGCATTACCTCTTTAAGGCAATATTATTTGTTCTCGAGCCATCTGCTGCGTCAATATGGTGATTTTCTGGGTTAAAATAATTGTCAAAGCTAATAAATTTGGATT